AAAATGATACACTTGTAAGACTGGTTCTTAGAACTAGAGGAAAGATACTGGTTTTTGTAAATCTTGGAGTACATAATACAAAGAGTTTAAATAGATAACCCTCTAGTTGAATTATAGCTATAGCAAATAATATAGAACTTAGTAATAGGCAAACTATTTAAATAGATGCTCAAAAGATGCAAGTATGACTAAATATACTCTCCAAATATGTATAATAACAATAAAAGCACAGCACAACCAAGAGATCACCTTAAAAAAATAATAATAATAATAACAATAATAATTTTACTACTATTAGAACTAGAAATATCTAATAAATAACTTTAAGATCAAAATAAGGTTTTACTTAATAAAAATATCTATTTCAGAATATTTTTTAATATCTAAAGTGATATTAACAAAAATAATAATGAAAATAGCAATTCTCTAAATTAATTATATATAATATTTATAATAAAAATTTTATATCTGCAAATATTAAATTTATACTTTCCTATCTGTTGATATAATAAATTACAACAATTTTTTCTTTACTTGTTGGTGACTATTCAATTAGAATTAATGAATTAATGAATAAACTATTTCTTTAACAATCAAGTTTTTTGTAAAAAATATTTTTAAATTTTCTATATCAGATAAAAATCTAAAAACTTCTTGAGAAAAAAATCTACAAAAAACATATTTTCAAATATATTATCAATACCAATGTTTTCAAAGTTTTTATTTATTACATGATAATATGAACTCATTGTCAACTAATATCATCCAAAAATATTAACATTTTATTTTTAAACATTTTTAAAATCAATTTTTTTTTTAAAAAAGAAAAAAAATCATCATTACAGTTACTATATTTGCTATTTAACAACAATATTAGATTTTGGGTTTTTAAACTATCAATATAATATTATAAACTCAATATATTAAAATTTTTGAACCCAATATTATAAGTTTAAAAGAAGTTTAGTTTTCTATGTCAGTATAAATTTTATATATATTTGCATACTATATATGATATATTACTCTATACGTAGTTGTGGCCTCACCAACTATACACATATGTTTGATACCTTAACATATGAAGTCTTTGCCTTGAAATCACCTTCCGATATTTCCGATTGAGTTAATTCAGACAAAAATAAACCCGAGTACCGGTTCATGTTCATATGTTAATCATCTTTTAATTTTATTAATTCAATAGTTTATCTAATAACTATTAAATCAATAAAGTTAAAAGATAATGATTAACATATAAACATGAACCGGTACTTGGGTTTATTTTTGTCTGAATTAACCTAATCGGAAATGTCAAGTGATTTTCAAGGCAAAAAATATCTAGTAATTAATCCACAAAATTTTTTTTAGCATGTGATTACTGTTATAATTTTATGCCACATTATGCATTTTCTATTTTACTATTAAACACAATCAGCTAAATGTTTTTTGTTTTTTTCAGTTTTTTTATGATGCTCTTTTGGTGCTTTTTACAATATTCTTTTGGTGCTTTTACAATGTTCTTTCGGTAACCTTTACAACATTTTTTGGTGCCTTTACGACATTTTTTTGGTGCCTTTATGACATTCTTTCAGTGTCTCATATATCGTTCCTTCGGTATATTTTTTTTTTTGGTGCCTTTTACGCGTTTTTCAATGATTTTTACATTGTTTTTTCGTGCTTTTTACGTCATTTTTTCAACGTTCTTTTGGCATCTTTTTGTCGTTTCTTCGGTGTTTTTTCTTAACATTCTTTCGGTGCTTTTTTCATTTTTTTTCAGTTCTTTTTATGACACTTTTTTGGTGCTTTTTACAACGTTCTTTTGGTGCTTTTTACAACGTTCTTTCAGTGATCTTTACAACATTCTTTTGGTGGCCTTTACAACGTTCTTTCAGTGCCTCTTATGTCATTCCTTTGGTATGTTTTTTTTTTTTTGTGCTTTTATGTATTTTTCAATGATGTTTACGTTGTTTTTTTTGTGCTTTTTATGTCTTTTTTTCAACGTTTTTCGGCGTCTTTTTATCGTTTCTTTGGTGTTTTTTCTTAACGTTCTTTCGGTGCTTTTTTCATCGTTCTTTCGGTCGGTGTCTTCTTCGTCGTTCCTTTGGTATTCTTTCGATGCCTTCTTTTGGTGCTTCTTTCGTCATTCTTTCAGTATTTTTCGACATTTTTTTCAGTGTTTTTTGGTACTTTTTTTCGCGTTCTTTCAGGGTCTTTTCGGTGCTTCTTTTGATATTTCTTTGATGCTTTTTCGATGTTATTTCGGTGTTTCTTTTAACGTTCTTTAAGTGTTTTTTTCTCGTCATCCTTTGGTACTTCTTTTTCATCATTCTTTTGGTGCTTTTTTGACGTTTTCTTGGTGCTTCTTTCGACATTCTTTGATGTTCTTTTGATGTTTTTTTTTCACGTATTTTCAGTGCTTTTTTTGATATTTTTTCAGTGCTTCTTTCGTTATTCTTTCGTAAATTAGATAATATAATTTTGTATATGATTTAATTATAATAATAAAATTATTAAAAAAAAAGTTAAATAAATATAAAATGGATAGTATTTTTTTGACGAGGTGAACGTTCAAGGTGAATGTTAAGGTCAACGTTAAGGCGAATGTTGACATAAACATTAAGGTCAACATTGAGGTGAACGTTGAGGTCAACATTGAGGTGAACGTTGAGGAGGTGAACGTTGAGGTGAACGTTGAGGTGAACGTTGAGGTCAATGTTGAGGTGAACGTTGAGGTCAACGTTGAGATGAATGTTGAGGAGGTGAATGTTGAGGTCAACGTTGAGGAGGTGAACGTTGAGGTCAACATTGAGAAGAACGTTGAGGTCAACGTTGAGGTCAACGTTGAGGTCAACGTTGAGGTGAACGTTGAGGTCAACGTTGAGGTGAACGTTGAGGTGAACGTTGAGGTCAACATTGAGGAGGTGAACATTGAGGAGGTGAACGTTGAGGAGGTGAACGTTGAGAAGGTCAACGTTGAGGTCAACGTTGAGGTGAACGTTGACGTGAACGTTAGCAGAAATTAGTGAAGTGGCTTAGTCACGTGCCGGAAATTTTTTTGTGGGTGATCTACAGGGGTGCAAAGATCCCATATCATACGCTACATCTTTGCTCAATCATACAATACTACTATTCGTATTACTCATTAAATAGTAACTTCGGGCAGGTAACATTAAGTGACAACTTCAAACAAGACAGGTGTATGCAGCTAAATCGTTACACTCCGATGTTATCCTAGTTATGAAACTGACTACAATAGCTTTAATTAAATAACTACACAGCTTATATGAACAAAATGTACAGTCTGAATACTGTAATAATTGAGAAATCATAAACATTTGTAAAATAACAATAGCAGAGTTGTTAATACTTTCTGGAAAAGTAACATAAAATGAGTGTATTCACATCAAACTATGATATATTAACATGATCAAGTCTAAGTAACCATATTTAATGCATTGACTTTTAAAATTTTGTAATGATTACAGCATCCTCATTTATGATGGATGAGTAAATATTTGTAATTTTATATTACAATGTATATATCTTTAAATATTTATCTTTAAAGCACTTCGCATAACAGCCTTTTATCTTGATATGTTATCACCCATCTCAATGGTAGATCATTTTTATTTCTTGGCTGGAATCTTTTTGCTTTGCCTTTCATCTTTCTTTTTTTCAATTTCTCGATCTTCCGCTTCAATTTCATGATCAATATGTTGTTTAATACTTTCTCGCTCAATGGCCATTTTTGGATTGAAAGGTAATTTAGGATCATGATTTGCAGAAGGATGAACGTATTTATCGTGAAGTTCGTGAGGTTGTTCTTTGTTTTTAACATCAGAATAACTTTGCGCGATGTGAGAAACATGGGATACAGTATCACGATGTGCTGATTTCGACATTTTTTATAAAAAGTTTTGTTGGATACGTTAAATATCTGATGTGAATATTTTTATGACAAATATTTACGACCAAGAAAGAGTTTGGGATTAAAGAAACATACAACTTATATATATATATCTTTATACTATAATGATGTAATTTTTTACATCATATTTACGCACTGGCAAACTTGAATAATATATGTAACATCTCTATAAACCGACAAGTGGTTGCAATTAAACTTAGACGTTGAACATGAAACAAATCTTCACTATTTGCGCTAATAACACATGAGAGTCACAATTTTAGGCCAGGATAGAGATAGTATATACTGAAAGTTATATAACAGAAAAATGCTTTTCTGGAATCTTTATATGATTTTAACTAATGAAAACGGGTCCTTTTTTTTCTTCGATCTCATGTTACATCAGTGTCACATCAAATCTTATGACCTACATATAAAACACTCTTATTGGAAAACACTCTTTTGGATTCGTATCACTAAGATAATCTGCTAAATCGTTTACTTCCGCTCGTCTTGATTCAAATGGATGCTACCTATAATACTCTCGCATTATACCTTACGCAAAAGATATCGTTAGTATAGATCAAAAATGTTTTTATTTCAATTTTAATTTTTACAAATATTTTTCGATAGAAGTCATTCGTCTCGTGACCGATTCCTTGTCGCCATTGCTGGAATACCGGGTTCAGGGAAGTCCACTTTAGCAAAAACTCTTGTTGAACGTGTAAATGAACTTGTGGGGGGAAATGTCTCTGTAATGGTGCCAATGGATGGGTATCATTATCCAAAAAAAATGTTAGATACATTTCCAGTACGCACAAATATATAACATATTCTTGCATGCAAGTTATTTTGAATAATGGCCCTAATTAAAATTAATTCTAGTCATTATTGAAATAACTTGTATGTACGTTATTCTGCGATAACACGGTAAATAAAGATTTGATCAATATTATGCGCAACTTTGATCAAAATATTAGGATCCTAAAGAAGCCTATGCTCGAAGAGGTGCATATTGGACATTTGATGCGCAAGGTTGGATTATATCAATTCTTCTCAACTTTTGAATTAAACTAGTTATATTGATCGAATTTTTGTAAAGGTCTTCTTACTTTGACGGAAGCTCTCCGACGTCCTATTGATAGCAGTCAAACAATAACTGCACCATCGTTCGATCATGGTAAAGGCGACCCTGTCGAAAATGATATTGAAATATTACCAAGGTTGTATATAACATATTTGTTTATATTGATTACTGTTAAAGTTTACGTGTTACTGTTTTCTTGTTGCTTTGACCTAGTCATAAATTGGTGATAATGGAAGGACTTTACCTCCATTTGAAAGAACCACCAGTTTGGAAATCAATTGCATCACATATGGACGAATTCTGGTTTCTACATATAGATCGCGAAATTGCAAAAAAAAGACTTATCAAAA